TGAGCAGCAGCCCCCCTGGCCAGCTTTCCCCAGTTTATGTACCGAGCATGACGTCACATGGTATGGAATGTCCCTTTGGCCAGTTTGGCTGTGCCCCCTCCCAGCTTCTTGTGCACCTCCAGCCTTCTCAGTCGGCAGAGCATGGGAAGCTGAAAAGTCCTTGGCTAGTGTAAGCATTACCTAGCAACAACTAAAACATCAGTGCCTTATCAGCTTTGTTCTCATCCTAAATCCAAAACACAGCACTGTACCAGCTACTAGGAAGGAAATTAACTCTATCCCTGCCGAAACCAGGACACTGTGTTTTGTTTAAACTTGGGTCCTTCTTCCACCATTCCCTTAAGAATCTTTTCCTTTAATTTCTCCTATATTGCAGCTCTGTGCTGTCACCTCAGTCTCTTCATTTACTTTGGGAATATATCTAAATCTCCTCCCCCCACCCCGGCCCCGGTAGAAATCTCAGGGAATTGATTCCTTTGAGTTTAGTTCATCTGCTGTAATAAACTTTTTTTTCTATGGTACAGAACTATTTGGTATCATTTAGCACCTTGTTGGATGTTTAAAAAAACTACCTTGATGCAAAGCCTGTTGCATGTAGCTGTTGATACTTTGGAAGAATACATATCGAGATGTGAGCACTGAAAATTGTGTATTAATTTATGAGTAGAATCTCTGGCCTGGGGCTAATTATACAGATGTTTTCTTGGATAAGTCTTGTATTTTAGTAGAGAGAATGTTGAGTCGTTTTTTTACTTCATATTTGCTGTTAGAGAATTACCTGTTTTGAAGCAATGGTTGTGTTCTCTTCAGTCTGGCTTAATTTTATGTTGCCACTGAAGGGAATGGTATTATGTTTTGTAACTCCTTTTTACTCACCTTCCTTTTGCTGGCACTAACAGCCATATGGACAGCCAGACTAGGAAGCTAACGTCTGTAGAACCTAATCTGACCCTGTCCAAAATACATATGCCAGTAAAAGGAACATAACAAGAATAATTAACTGTGGGATTGGGGTGGGGAAGGAATCTCTTTCAGTGATGCAACTAAACTAATGCGTATTCTTCCACTTTCCTGCTAAAGTTGGTGGGGTTGGTTGTGCTGCATCCTGTCAGGCAGGAACAGGGCTAGAAAAGGTCAAATGGAAGTGGTATGCTAGTTCATTCAAGGATTAGGTATTTAGTCTTAAAGGCCTCTGTCGTTATCTGAAAAAAATTCTAATAAGTTGTAGCTTTGAAACCTTTTAAATGGCTGCTTGAAATTTGTCATGATCTGTGGTCAGCTGTATTATGAATTCAGGACTGAGAGTGGGATATATTCAATTTTTATTTCACTGCTCATCTATTCCTTTTTTCTCTACACATGCAAGAGCTATAGACTAATTTCCTAGAATAGGAACTGTAGACAATTGTTGTGGTTTAACTCGGCAGGCAGCTAAACACCACACAGCCGTTCGCTCACTCCTCTCCCTCCCCACCAAGAGAATTGGGGGGGGAGTAAAATTTGTGGGTTGAGATAAAGACAGTTTAATAGGACAGAAAAGGAAGAGAAAATAATGATGATGATGATAAAAGAATATACAAAATAAGTGATTCACAATGCAGTTGCTCACCATCCACCGACCGATGCCCAGTCAGTTCCTGAGCAGCGGTCACCCCTCTGCCAGCTAACTCCCCCCAGTTTATATACTGAGCATGACATCATATGGTATGGAATATCCCTTTGGCCAGTTTGGGTCAGCTGTCCTGGCTGTGCCCCCTCCCAGCTTCTCGCTGGCAGGGCATGGGAAGCTGAAAAGTCCTTGACTAGTGTAAGCACTACTCAGCAACAACTAAAACATCGGTGTGTTATCAACGTTATTCTCATACTAAATCCAAAACACAGCACTGTACCACCTACTAGGAAGGAAGTTAACTTGATCCCAGCTGAAACCAGCACAACAATTTAAACCTCTATGATCAATACCGCACATGACTTCAAAAACTGAGCCTGAATATGAAGCTTGAATGCAACACTGAACTGTGCTATTCTGGTAATGACCTTAATTCAGAATTTAAAGGCCAATAAACATACAGCTGCCAAATGAAATGCAACCCAACAGACCTTAAGTGGAAACTTCGTCAGCTGGACAAAGAAGCCCTTGTATGTCAAATTTCTGCTACTAGAGTGAGTGATGGATTTCATTTACCCCAAAACATATATTGTTCTGTTAGCTGTAGTAGCATCAGAAAATTTGCAGAACCATTTCTCCTTACCACAGACCTGGTCTTGTTCAGGAATCGGAGTCCTTGTCCCTTCCCTGCTTCATCTATCCCTACCATCTCTCCAAAAGTAGAAATAAAAATAATGTGAAACAGCTGAACTCGTAACCCATAAATATACTTTTTATTTTTCATTTCAGTAACTTATGACAAATGAAAAATAAAGTTAAGTCATCATCCGTTTGGGTATGGAAGGTGTGGTATTTGGTAAATTGAATGAACTGTAGAAAGGTAGAAATGTTAGATGAGGGTGTAAAGACATGAAAGGATCATAATGAAATAAGCAGAAGCTAACTGATCGGCCAAACCATTCTGTTGATGAGCATGGCATGAGTGGAAAGAGAAATAGCTCATTAGATATTTTCCTATTTTGAATGACCTAGGAGGAGGCATTTCACTAAGTCTTGTAGCAGGTAGGCATTGGACAAGTGACTTTTTCCTGGCTATGTTGTCAACTCTCCGTAATGACTGCAGGGCTTTTGATTTCTTCTTGTAGTACGGAAGAGTTTCATACTTTTCACTGCCTTAAAATCTGCTAACTGAAGAATAAACTAAGGCAGAAAAAAAGATTTTCCTAGCTTAGTATCCTATTCCTGACAATAGCCAGAAGCAGACTGCTGGGAAAGAGAGTAAGACTAGAGTAAGGAGATGGTAATGCCTCCTCAGAAGATTCTTGTCTCTTAACAACTTGTGATGTGGGAACTTCCTGAGTCAGAGCTGGTTTCTTTAAGTAACCTGCAATGAATTTTCCTTCTTTAAACTTACCCAATCCTTCCTTGAACCTATGTAACCTTTTGTATTCAAATAGGAAGAAGTTGTACAGGTTAATGACGTATTTTTATGAAGAGCAATTGCCTGTTGTTTTAATTCTGCTGGCTTTATTTATGACTTCTTCTTTGGTAGGAGACAGCAGTATCTATCCTCCCTTTCTAGGTGCCCATTTCATGGATGTCTGTCATGTTCCTCGTTAGAGTTCAGGTTTAGTCATATCTAGTATGGAAGCTACATTGACCAACCTTGTTGCCCTTTTTGAACATTTTCCAGTTCTTTTTATTTTCTGTGTGGAATAAGGGAGGGGAGGAGGGATTTAGAACTACATACTTAAGACTTGGGCAAACCATGGATTTCTTTGTAGTAGCATGATTTTTTGTTTGTTCTTTTTTTCCTCTCTTAGTAATTCTAAGCATTTAGCTTGTTCTTGACTATTTAATGTTTTGGTAGATTTGTAATAATCCCAAAATTTGTTTTCTGAGTAGTCATGGCAATTTCTGAGTAGTTACGAGTTCTGAGTAGTTTTGGTCAGCTCAGAGCTCCTCACTTTGTGAAGTTGGGATGGTTTTCTTCCTTTGTGTGCATCGCTTTACATTTCACAGTGTGGAATTTCTCCTGTCTGCTTTTTTGTAGGATATATTAACCTACAGTATTACCCAACTATTAAATCATAGGTGTTTTTTCTATAGCTATTTTGTTTTGACGTCTTACTTTAGTCTTATTTAAAGTTACAATTATAAAGGTATGCAAAGATACAGCAGCGAACATTTCTTTGAATTCTGCAGCTTTTCTGTATCTCTAATTCTGTACATTAATTCTGTGCTAATGGCTAGTTAAAATACAATGCTCCTGTCAAAATTCAAATTCTTTCTTCATGCTGGAATTCAACATAATACAAAAATGACTACTTTAGTATGACTGCAGTTTTAGTAAGTGGTAGATGGGAAATTATCTCTTTCAGCGTTTGGGGGGAGCTATTTGGAGTCCCACTGTGGACAACAGGTATTCTGTATGGAACTTCTGAGGGCAAAATACAAAATACAATGCTCCTGTCAAAATTCAAATTCTTTCTTCATGCTGGAATTCAACATAATACAAAAATGACTACTTTAGTATGACTGCAGTTTTAGTAAGTGGTAGATGGGAAATTATCTCTTTCAGCGTTTGGGGGGAGCTATTTGGAGTCCCACTGTGGACAACAGGTATTCTGTATGGAACTTCTGAGGGCAAAATACAAAAGCTTTTTCAGTTACTGAGACTAAATTCATTGCAAGTATGGTATTCACATCTGTGTCCTAACACTGTACGTTGATGATTGTAAAAGACTGACCCATTCATTTCTGTGACGTTGCAGTGTTTGACTGAAATGTGGGATCTTTGTGGTTAGCTCTCCATTAGTATGCATCATTCTATTACATGCCTGCTGGGGACTCCTCTGACAAATTCTAGCATGATTTGCTCTTTGAGGTACAGTAGTGAGTTCTTATAAATAAAAGCATTTTCCTTGTACACCTATACATTGTTTTCAGCTGACCTAGTGATGCAGTGAGAAATTCCATAAATCTCTTGTTCAGAATACTTGAGCAGAATTTCCTTTTTTTTTTTTTGCAGTGTATGATTGTAGGTAGAATTGTAAAAATCAAGCAAGTTGAAACAGGTTGAACTATGCAGAATAGTTTGTGGATGATAAAAAGTAATCAGCATTAGCATGTGTGTTGCTGACTGAGGACAATCTGTGCATCTTATGGAAAGCTGTGTGAAATTAAGACTCCTGTTTGGTGCCAGGCCCACCGTTTGGGTTGAAAGTAACAGCCTTCCACTCTTGTCACAAATGGCTAATCGGCATTGCCTGTATGGAAGTATGAAAGAATTTCAGGGAACTTGTCCTGTTAGGTTCAGCAATTCTTGAAAAGCCCATGGAAGGAATGAAAAAATTCAGTATCTGTTTTCAAGTCGCATATGGCCAGTTCGTGTCCTATTTCTAGCCTTGTACAAACAGATTCTGAAACCTCTAAATAAGTTCCATATGGAAGCTTATACTGGACGTGGTCATGTTTCAACATTATAGGTGTAGATGGCAATCTCTCCGCCGACTGCCATGCCCTAAACAGCTGCAGTTAGTATTTTGACTATATTACTAGCATCTTCCTCTGGAAAAACTAGTATTCTTGGATAATTTCTACTTACATGTCTATACGCTGCTTAATTAGGCTTTCAGAAGGCCGAAATAATCACAGAATCTGAATAACCCAGGAACAATTGTAAATCAAACCTGGAATCTAAGCATTATGAAGTTAGGAAAAATTAGCCAAAAATTTAGGCTGTGGATGAACCCTATCAAAGGCACTCATCTCAGAAATAAGTGACCGAGTGTTACAAAGATGATTGATAATTGCTACAAATTCTACTTTTTTGAGCTCAATCAGAATACTCTTCTCATATTTAATGTTTCAGTGATCGAGACTTCATGTGTTACTAATACTACCAATAATTTTGAACATTGCTATAGCTGCTGATCCTGTTTTACCTTCAGAGATATATTTTCAGTTTTCTACAACCGAACATTCCTTGGCCTATCAAGAGGAAGTACTTCTGCTGTTATGTAGCAATATCTTGGAATTCACTTCTGCTCTTTGTAGTACTCCCCAACTACTGAAAATTCCTACATGATATTATGTTACTCCATTAGAGTGGGCTTGTGGTTGTTATTGTCTCAAACCTAATGTATTTTAATTGTTAGGAGTATGGCAAATAATTCTTGCAGTATTAATTCCTTAGGTAAGAATCAAAAAATATTTCTCCTTTTTCTTAATGAAAGATTAATCTTATAGAACATTGATGATTCTTGACAGGATTTTTACTTCTTGTATGAGTCTTGATCAAAACTTGTGATTTTCTTCTTATAGCTAATTCCATATCCTCCCTCTCTTCCCCTCTGTTTTTGACAGAATGGTTCTCTATGCCTTTTAAACAATGGTTTTGCATCACTCTAAGAGAATAAGAGCTATAGTTTCCTTGCTATGCAGGGATCTTTTGAAGTACACACAAAAATGTATCTGTTCAGTTTGAGATTTTTCTTTTTTAGGAACAGATTTCTAAGCAGCTCATCCTGTGTTTGGTGGTTGTTTCAAAATAGAGATGAAAAATGTACATAGGCTTTGATTATTGACATTATGTAGAATTTATTGTGTACTTTGGTAAATCAGTGGTCCCCCTTTTCCTGCAAAATGTTTAGCACAATCTGTAATTAGATCAAATACATTTGATTATCCTACATCCTAAAGTTTCCTTTAGTTGTAAACAGCACATTTCACAGCTGCTAATGAGTAACAAATCTGTACATGCTGCAAATTGATTATGAGAGATGAAGTCTGTTTACAATCTGTGGACCATTATTGCTTGGGAGGAGAGAGGGGAGGGGAAAAAAGGAAAGTTTAAAATAATCATGGAATCAATTTTCTAATGGAAGTGTTTTCCCATTGGATATGTATTTTGTAAGTATGTGGCAAGACAACCCAACTGTGCATTTCTTTTAAAAAGTCTAAATATTCTTCCTTGAAGTTGATATGATGTCACTTGGGTTGCAAAATGATGATGACCATACCTTATTGTATGAATTATAGATGATTTAAATTGTCATAGAGAACAGGGTATTAATTTTTGGTGGTTAGCATTCGTAACTCACTTTAACTGCTTGGTATAGCAAACTGTTCTGCAGTTTGATACATCTGAGGAAAAGAATATGTTCCTTTTAAAACACTATTGACTTTAGTTCTTTGAATATAATTGGGTTTGAGTAATACGAACTTCAATCAGTATTTCACTTTTTGGACAGTTATTTTTGTGTGTGTATACAGACAAGTAAAGTATGTGCAATAATTACTATTATACAGTGATTGATACAAGGACGCAGACATCCTGTGCAAGTTATTCAGATGGTTTGGCATTGTTTTTAACTACGGCTATTTGTGATGTTGATTTACTTATTAGCTGTTCATACTTTTAACAGGAAGACAGTGATCCAGCAGTTCATGAAAGCCTAAGCATAGAAAATACATTATGGGCAAGCACGGTTGTTGCTTCAGGTAAGTGTTGCAATAGCAAAGCTGGTAATGCATCTAAAAACTTCTGTGGAAGCGTATCTTTATTTTTACAATGTGAAATATTAATGGCTTTTGAAAATCTTTCTGTCTTCCAGGCTATTAGTCTCTTGCTCCTCTGTTGTCTGCGTTCCCATTGGTTTCATCATGTTACTCACAATATTTTCATACCTTTTTAATCCTCCTTAATAGGTTTTTTTTTACTTAAATTTTGCTGTTTCAGTAGTGCTGTTCCTTGTACCCCACTAAAGTCTCACTGACCTTTTTGTTTTAATTAAAACTTCAGGTTGTAAAGTGCTGTGGATAGGGTCCTGCTGAAAAGCAAGGGTGGTTTTGCATTTGTTAGGAGTTTTTCTTTTATGTATACTCCATGCTGCAGGTAAAGTTTGCTTAAAAACTTTTATCAGGCAAAATCTTAATCAGAAAGTATAGATTAGTTATATAGTTATGTAATTTTAAAATAATTGGATCTGAATATTAGTAATGTTTCATATGTGTCTCAGATATTATAAGGAGTTCACATTATCTAGATGCTGTATTCAGGCTTTAAGCCATTTTTAAGAGTGGAAAATTATTTTCTTCTGTTTTCGCTCTATGTAAGAAAAATCAAAAGGGCTGTGGTTATTCTTCTGCACAAAAAGACTGAGAATAAGGAATCAGAGAGCATGATTTCTGAAAAGGAACTAGGATTTAAGATAGGGAATTGGAACAACTGGAAACATGAGCCAAGAGGAGGAGGAGTGTGGAGAAAGGGGAAGAAAGTAAAAAAGCGTTTCCACCTAACTTGTAAAGTTAGTCCCTACTATGAAGGCTTCTTACATCAGTGAGGGGCCTGCTGGAGGGTTGTGGGGAAGAGATCAAGTTTGAGGAGGTGGCAAAGGAGTCTGTGACTGAGCGCTCCTTTCCAGAGTCTTAAAAGATAGTCATGTTCTTTGATGCTCAGTGGTGTTTGGTTTGATTGCACTGGGAAACTATTCTCTCTAAAACTGTTCTGTCAAATGGATGATGCCTAAAATTGTCCTCACTTAGGTTTTTAACTTAAGTAGCCAAGATCTGTAATTGTGTGTAAAAAGAAGCTGCTCATGAATTATGAATTTCAATACTATGTAAATGGTTTCGAGTTTGCTTTTTCCGGAATTTATATACAGGGGAAAACTAACACTCAAAGAGTATACATTTGCAAAGTCAGTAATTCTGAATCAGTAATTCTGAATTTTAATTGAAAACTATTCATGTTTTCATTTCTAGTGTAGATGATTTGATTTTGTTTAGAACTGTAGCTAATGTCTGCTGCCTCTTGATCTAAAGTTGGCACCCAAATTAATGGAAACAATGCTCCTTAAAATTTATGCCTTAGCGTGTGTTTGGGTTTTTTTACTTCTGAGGGGTCTTGTGAAGGTTTAATTGTTTATGAAGGACTTAGGTTCATTATTAATGATGGCAGTAGAAAAACATAAGATAATTCTCTTGTTGGAGCATGGTTTTGAATAGTGGAATAAGACTCTTAGGGAGCCTCAGGGCGACTCACTGAATGATACAAAGTAAAAATATTGAATGGCTCTTCAAGACTGCAGCCCCTTCTGAAGGGAAAAATAACACGTGATCAAGTAATTAAAAATGGTGTCATGATGTGCATACGGAAGTTGGTTGAATTAAGTTAGCAGAGAGAAATAATTTCCTTCAGTAACTGATTTTGTGACATTAATTATCTTCTTAATCTAAACTTTGGCATATCATTCATTTTCACTTACGTCATCTCATATATTAACTACAATTTAATATTGTGATAATGTGCTCCTCTCATGTAAGTACTGCAGTTATCAAGCATATCAGATTTCTATTTGGATATTTGCTTGTTCTGTATGGCATTATAAATCCAGATCTTAAGAATTGCGCAGCACCTCTCTGGAGGTAATTTTAGCATTTGATAGGATTAGGCCTTTAACAAAGAGTAGGAAATTATTGCCTTCAGTCTGTTGCTTATTTAATAAAGAATTTATAAGGTCTTACAGGTGCACTGTGCATATAGTCATGAAGAAGACCATAAGGCAAAACATTTAGTGGATTGTTAAAATCAAGATATTCTAGATTTGGTTGATAACTGATGTATCACTCAGTTGTTTTCATCTCAATTCCAAGTTGAATGTATGTAACTAAGTTAGGATACCTAATGCTAAGCTAGTCAAATTTGAATTTTTATAGTTTTTAAAAAAAATAATTAGAGTTCATAATTGAATTTCCAAGACTTGTGACAACTGAAAATCTTGTTAATAAAAACACTTGTCACTGTCTGACTGCATTATAAACACACATAAACTGCCTTGCTTAAAGCCTGCCATGGCAGGATATCAGAGGTGGACTCTGCCTACACAACTTTGCAGGCACCTCTGCATCCCCTCCTCTACCATGGCCTGTCACAGTCCTTGACTATATCTGAAAAACTTAGTGGAAGATTAGGCTTGCACACAAGCTCTGCAGACGAGTGTCACTCAGATTGCATGAAAACAGAAGAATAAACAGGCCATAGCATGTGAAAGTCTGTATTTCTACTCTGTAGATAGCTACCTCACCTCAACCACACTTGTATCCTATTTCAGTCTCCTTACTGTCTAGGCTCAGTTCTGTTACATGCAGGTATTCTTCACCCAAAAGTATACCATGTCCATACACAAGCCTAATCTTCTATTACTTTGCCACTTTGATTCAAGAAAGTGGGTTTGTAGCCTGTGCCCAGATGGTAGGGGGTAGAGTTCTGCCCTGCAACATTGCCTGTACATTTCCTCATTTACCTTAAGACTCTTCAGTATGGGAGTCTTTAAGGCATCCTAGCTTGGAAGGCTGCTTCCTCCAGTGCTCTTTAAGCAGCCTGGACATCATCTGTTACTAAGCCAAGCAAATGTGACCCATTGCTCTTGGGACTATGTTATGCCCTTGCCAACCCCTTGGAGGTTGTTACAAAGCATTCTTGGTCAACCTGCACTATTATCTTGACATATTACTGACTGATGCTGTCAGTCTCACAGGTGGAGACGGGGAGTTACATCACTGATGCCCAGGAAAGGAATACGTAGCTGAGTTGCAGATACAAAGCCTTATTTAATTTAAAAAAGGTTTTGCATAGGACATACAGGACGATTGTTGGGCGGGGGGGTTCTCCTTCCTATTTTCCTCCTTCTAGTGATTAAATATATGCTGAATTTCCTGATATTCCCTTTGACATATTACATAAAACACATTGCATCAGCTAGGAGAGCTCACTACCTCCAAGACACACCGTTGCTATTTGTCAAGGTGATACAGAGGGTCAAGGTCAGGCTAGGAAAAGTGTTTGGGGAATTATGTGGGGAATACCTCAGAAAACTTGAGCTCTGGTTGCTGATGTCCTGACAGTTCTAGAGGAGAGAGACCACAAATCAATCATCTTGCAGATCAGTAACAGTAAATGTAAGTGTATAAAGGTTTCAAGGAATCTTATCAACTACATGTTGAATGCAGATTACCAAAGCTCATGAAAATATCAGGATACTACAATAATGGATTCTACAGGGCGAAAAAAAAAAAGCCTATTGCTAGACCAGTACAAGTGACAAGAAAAATATTTGCTATAATTTCAGACTATTTCTATTTTCTTTTTGAATTTTGGGAACGAAAAAATTGGTTCAACAAAATCATGTAGTGTCAAAACAACTCAAGAATAAACTATTCCACAGCCTTTTTATATCAACAAATAAAGTTTAGGAGGGTGAGATTCCTCAAATTTGTGCATTTGGAAGGTGTTACCTTTCCTTGATTTCAGTACGTCTCCTTACCCCTTAGAATAACAGTAAGCTAAATGGAAAAAAAAAAAAAAATTACCATTTTGTCACACCTAGTATATATTATATACCTAGATGTTCTAGTCTCAGAATCGATAGGTTAGATATCTAAATGGAGATTCCTACTGCTGAAGTGCTTTATCCCCCTTGCTGTAAAGCCCTGACAGAGATCTGGTGACTCTGTGCGTGATGTTTATCCTAACCACAGAAAGTACAAAGACTGATTTGCCAGGATCACACTTGAAGCCTCTGGCAGGGGTAGAAATCAAAAGCCCCTCTCTCAAGTTCAAAGCATGCAGACATCCTTTTGTAATTCTTTAAGTGAGGTAGGGAAAAATATTCTGACTTTTTCCACTTACAGGCAACATCTCAGTGAGTTTCAAAAAGGTAGCAGCATGGTATGGAGTCTGTGTGCCATTCTTAACATCTATATTATTGCTGTGGAATTAATAGTAGTGCCTGAAGGAAAGGAAGTTTTAGTTAGTGAAAATTTGAAAAACTGCTATCACTGAAGAAACAACTTGAAATGTAACCAAATAATTTAAACCACTAAGTATTTTGAAAACCTCTTAGGTTATCTTTAATTAAATTACTTCTCTTTCAGATCATTTGTGTTCGTGACATCACTGACTGTGGTGTTTGTGTTTATTGAAAGCTTTGGTAGATTTCCTTTCTGAAAGGGAGAGAGGAAAGTCAGCAGTTAAATTTTAAAAAGCCTCAAAAGGTCCACTACAGTATGGACTTTAACTTTTTGCTCTCCATTTACTGTGATGATCAATGTGGTTCAAACTCTAAACAAGATAATGCAGTTTTCTGAGAGACCTGCTGAGATATCTGTTAAGAGGAGGTTTGTATTAATGGAATTTTGTGATCATTTCAGCAGGTGTCAGTCTTGCAAAGTCACTTTATATAAAATCAGAACAATTTGTATAACTGCACAGCTGTAAAAAGCACTATTTTGTGCCAAGTCCTACACATGATTTTAATTAATGTGAGCACTCTTGTTTTTCTATGGTTCACACAGTGCTTGGGAGATACCAAAAATTAATATGATCACACACCGGATTTAGAGTATGCCTGACTATTTGTGTGTGTAAATTCTGCACAAGTCCTCTTTTCTCTCTTTTCCAGGCCCACGTGTTTATTCTAGTGATACCTCCTGTAACTTCTCTCTCCTTTGTTAACCATTCTGCCCTTAAGAATCAGTGGTTGCCCAATTTACATGAGAGCTAGTTTGCATAGAGGCCCGTACATAAAAGTACTTGAGTCATTGCTTTTAATAAGCCCAGGCTTGTAGTACAGCTACGCTTCAAGGAACCCCAAATTGGATTCAGTTCTTTCTACTGTGGGCCAGGGTGGAGTTTAGTGCAAGTATGCATCTTTGTTCACAGCTGATATTAAGCTTAGATTTTTTGAGGATAATGAGAGAGAATAGTGGGTAAAAAAACCCTCCAGAACACTAGAACTGTCCCTGGTGCAACCACTGTGGGACAACACTAAAATTAGGCTCGGAGTTCCCTACACTGATGTAATTCAGGTCTAAGGAACCCTAGATTTACCAGTGATATTGTGCTATTAACTAACAGGCCCAAAAGTTTAAAATCAAAGATCGGCGCCTCAGTAAAAGCAGCGGTTCAGTCAGATTTAGCCAAAATTATGATCAAAATTCAGTAGTCAAAATGGTTTCAAAGGTGAAAGAGAAAATCCAACTTTTCAAGGAGCAAAATACAAGACAAGCGGTCAGCTTGTTTTCCTGAGCTGCAGCAGCCTAGCCAGGTGAAACTTAGTGGAAATGTGCCAGCTGGAATGGAGAAGTCCTCCCCAGCTTTTGCTGAACTAAGGGGCTACAAAGGCAGAGATTGTTGGGGTGAGCAGGAGAAGATTTCCTCCAGGATATCGTCCAGTGTGTTCTGACCATTGGACAGAGGTCAGCTTGGAGGATCACTCTAAAGTGCCCCGAAGGGATATGGGCATTGGTTGGAGACAAGGAGAAAGAGTTCAGAAATTATGGATCAATGACTATTCTTTTACAAAAGGCAGGCGGAATTTTGGGGTGTGTTGGGGGCATGTTACTTATATACTAATGTGCAGATTTGCATGTGGAACTGTCAGCAGAGGCAAACTGGTTTTGGGGAAAATGGTATGTCAAGGGAAGTCTTAAGAAAAAGCTTTAGGATGAAGAGGAAAATAATAGAAAAACTAGTTTTTAATTGTCCAGAAGACGTAATGTATAATCACTGATGTTTTGTATGTGGATTCAAAGTTTTCACTTGCACTCTCATTTTTGAGTAAATGAAACTTCCTTTCTTTAATGCCAACATCTTTAACTGTCATCTTTTTTTTTCTTCATGTGTTCCTTCATAACTATCATCTTTTTTTTTCTTCATGTGTTCCTTCAATTTTTTATGACCTGTTACGCTGCAAGAGTAGTGATAGCAGATCTTGCACGTTTTCCTGATTGCCAAAGACAAATTAAGTTACTTAATGTCAGACAAATGTGTAATACTTCTACAGTTTTTAAAGTTTTCTGAGCAGGGTGTTTCTGACAAGTTATGTTAATTATTCCTTTACAGCATAAAGACAACAAAAAAATCACATTATTGGTTGTACTGCCGTAAGCCATTTCAGGTCACTTGAAAAAGTAGTACAAATAAGGATTTTGTTTTGTGCTAGAAAGTGTGATAGTGGCATATTAATAAAAAACTAGATTTTTATTTAATATAGAAATTTATTTAGTGATGCTGAAGCCAAGTTTTCCTATACCATCCAGTAAAAATTGACTAAAAGATAATTGGAACTGGGGAATCATTTTTATAAGTTAATGAATACGAGAATATTTTTGTATGGGATTCTGTCAAAGTAATTAATTGGGTGAACTAGATTTTACATCATTATAGATGACAAGAGCTAGCAGGCAATTTGTATATGATGCATTCAGCACCATTGTACTAATTTTTTTTATTCCTTGTGAAGGGCAGTTATTTATGCTGTGTGTTAACTTCTGAAAACAGTTGGAGGCAATTTTAAGTTCAAATATAAGTTTTTAACCAGTTACATTGAAAGTATTGTTTCCATTAAAAAGAAGGAAAGCATGTTGTCATTTTTATGGATGTTAATTAAAGAAGTTATAATGATCCATCATAGTCAATTCTGAAAAACAGCATTCACAATGCTATGTACATTGCATAAATGTTTGGGTTTTTTCATACAATTGCTTTGTTTGAGGGACTGTGAATTACTGCAAGTTTTAATTCAGACAAGTTTTCTCTTAACTACATGACACCTCTGATGTACTTTTTGCTTGTTTGTTTTTCAGGAACTGTAATTGGTGTTGTCATTTACACAGGCAAGGAAACTCGAAGTGTAATGAACACATCCAATCCAAAAAATAAGGTAAGTTAGCCTTACTGTGGGATTTCCTACCTTTGGTTTCATAAAACTTAAAAATAGGTGTACCTAAAACCCAAAAATCTACAAGCTCTTACTCTAATCTATTTTGTGTGTGCTGGACTGACTTGAGCTTTGGTATGAGCAGTGAATTCTGCCGCAGTCTCATTTCGGAAGTAAAATTATTCCTCTTTTAGCTAGGAGTGTTACAGGTACTAATGGAAACATTTGTCTTTGAAGTATAAATGCGCATCCTCAGACTTTTATACTTCTTTTTCACAGCTAAATATTAATTCCCACTTCACTTCTCTCAGATTATTTTACAGTAAAGTATTTGGCCAAAGCTACACAGTAGTTTTAAGGAATGTTTATAACGGGCTACTGAAATTTATTCGGGCTCCCAGAGGAAGTAGAGCAAGGTAACTGAGGTTCCAGTCAGTACCCAGAACGTTCTTCCAGGGATTTTTGTAAACGATGAAAACATTGTAGAGAGATTTGTCTGTTGAAAAGATACCAGAAGTTCGAGTGCTTCCCTCTGTACCAGGTTCTTTCAGTTCAAAACAAAGCAAATAGCTCTTCATTTCATCGGTAATGTTTCTAATGTGAGCTGGGGAGGGCCCTCAATTATAAAGAAATGAAACTTCAGTAGTAGGCTGTATCTTACAACCTAGACCTGTGTTTAGTAAGAAGATACTTAATTATATTAAGAAAGGAAAAAAATTCTTGCAAGAGGTTTAAAAAAAATCAATTGTGACAGGTTGCCATTTTCACGCCATTCATAATAAGTTGCTCTGAGTAGGAACATCAAGAATGAAATGATAACACAAATTGCTTGAAGCAGTTATTGCAGTCCCGGGAGTGTATTGATTTGTGTTTCTAATAAAGAGATGTTTTTAAATGTCTCATTGGCAGAGACAGGTGATATGTACCATTACATGGATTAAGATGGCCTTTTATTATTTTAATCTTTGTAACATACGTTTTAAAATATTAGAGTAAAATGGAACCAGAATGTTTATGGTGCGTAATTATTTTCTATTTCATCCGATACAAAGATGAGCCCTTTAGTAACAGCATCTTTCTCTAAGAGTTCTGAACAACTACTGACTAATAAATAATTCTCACAGGTATTTAAAATGAAATCACTTAGTATTGTAAATTGATAGGGGAGTATGCATAAATGTAACATGCTTTACCCAAATTCAACAGATTCTGGAGGTGTATTAGATTTTAAGTAAATGTTTGTTAAAATTTTTTTTGCATTATTATTTCACACAGAAAATTATAATAAAGGGGAAAAGGATTTGTGTTTAAAATTTCCCTGATGTTTTCAAAATGACTATTAAAATTGTTGCTTCAAATTTTCATCAGTAAAAGATTAAGTAGCAGATAAACCTACAAAAGAGATCCAGCAGCATGTTAACAAGCTGCAGCGTGGTTTGTACTATTATGACAATACATTTACCACCTTTGCTTGCATAATACTTTAATGTTACAGCTCCTAACAATTAAATGCTGTTGTTCTTTCTTCTACAGTGGGAACCTAATTAAACTTATAATTTTCATGAAGCACTGAGAAGTAAAATATTATGTGTACACACGCATGCACGTACACAAACTAACAGAGCCAAATCCTAATAATGTTAGTGCAATATATGCCAGATATCAGTATATGAACACTATCTAAAATAATTAGCTTAGTAACAATTCAGAGGAGGTTTGGACTGGACATTAGGAAGCATTTCTTTACTGAGAGGGTGGTCAAACATTGGAACAAGCTTCCTAGAGAGGTGGTTGATGTCCCAAGCCTGTTCAGTGTTGAGGCATTTGGACAACGCCCTTAATAACATGCTTTAACTTTTGGTCAGCCCTGAATTGGTCAGGGAGTTGGACTAATGATCATTGTAGGTCACTTCCAACCGAAATAGTCCATTCTATTCTAATTAGAAATCATGCTTTTAAAAAGCATTTATCTGCCACTGATAAAACAGGTGATGCTTGTATAACTAAACTGTATTCAGTAGTTGTCCAAAGGCCTTTCAAGGAGTCATTGACCTATTAAGATGTTCAGTATTCTAAATATGTATATTCACTTGTTCCTTGGAGGTGCTTAGTTCTTCGTACCATAGTTAGCTGATAGGAATCTACTAAATGTGAAGAATGAGGCTTAATATGGTATATGTAAAATTACCTGCTTTAAATGTCTCTGCCTTGGTAGTTGCGCTGTAGAATATTTCAAAAATTTAAAAATTAATCTTATACTGAGCAGGTGAAGACCTTCTCTAGAGCCTATTTTCTACATCAGCTACATCAGCTCTGCATCAACTGTCTTTCAAATTATTCTGTAAATGTGTAAATGAGTCTTGTGTGTACCAATTGCTCAACAAGAATATTGGTGTGGGGTTTTTCTCTCTATGTACTGAACATCGTTGTTTAAAGTAACATGACCAGTAGGGATGGATTTGGGAACTGAAAACAGAAAAACACTTAAGGCTATCACAGATGAGTAAGTGATAAAATGCAGTACTTCAGTGTAAAAAATAGTTGTCAACATTTAGTTTTAACTCTACCTTTCTGTGGAGTTAGCATCTTACTGTCTCTGTATCTTCTACCATGGGGTGAGATTGGTTTGCATACTTCTGTAAGATACACTTGCTGCCTGTAGGTGATATTCTGTGCTAGTTAGCCTTGCAGCAGGTAGACAAGCAGTAGTCAGTTCATTCCTCCTCTGCGTATTTGGGTGGGGGAACCTTCCTGTGTTTTCTTAAGCTTGACAAAAATGATTACATGTTGGATAGGGTATGTAGCATTAGGAGCCAAAAGGAGGGCAAAGGGAGTCTGAAATAGTCTTTGAGATTAGAACGTGTATTACAATTGAGAGATTAAAGATTCGAACATTTAAAAAAAAAAATCTGCACCTAACTGTTGTTGAAACAAAATTGAAATTAAATTGATCAGTTGTGATACTGCTGCAAACTCGAGAGGAAGTAAGTCTGCATCCTCTTCTGCTTTAGGGAATAATTGTTCCAAATACTTTTTGGAACTGATTTTAAATGGCAGACTGTCTCTCTCTGCTGCTCTTTGAAAACATATAAAAATAATATTCTAGAGATTTTCCTGTAAAATGTGTTGATACGCTCTTGTTGGGAATATAGTTCAGTGATGCTCGTGTCTTCTGGCTTTGGGAGAAAGCAAACACTGAGATCTACGATTCTCAATTTACACTGCCAAACTGAAACTTCTATGTCCAGAAATAAGCAAAGAATACATGGGCTTGACTCTTTTATCATTCCTCTCTTCATTGAAATACAGATTGTTGTATTCAGTTGTATTTCTTGCTGGAGTATAACATTACTGCTGTACTTTGTACTATAAACTGTGTTTTTCTAATGGCAAATTTTTAGTTTTCCTGCTTAAGGGTAGATGCTTTTTGACTAAACCAATATTAAAATTTAGAGATGCAGACCTGCTTTATAAACAGTGAGCAGAAGACTAAAACTGAAATAAGTTTAAGCAAACTTACATGTGAAAAATTGTGAAATGTATGTACCTGTTCAAGCATGTGGTTTATCTGTATGTTAAACGTAGAAGTATTTATTGTGTTTGAAGTATTTAGTCATTCAAGCAACAATTTTCTTAACTTAAAGTCAACACTTTGTTGTTTTATTACAATTATAAAAATTGTTTCATTGCCTAAGGATGCAGACACGGTCTGAAAAACACAAAGAGAGAGAGAAGAGAATTTTCTTAATGGATCAAGTCAATGTGGTTTTAATTCCAAACAATATAAAGAAAAATTATTTCTGACAAGGTTTAATTTCAGTCTAAAATGATATATATTCCAGATTGAATTGTGCTCCTCACAATGCTGTAATCAGTAATCAATCCTATTTAGATAGATATTCTTAAACCTTGGCTTTCTGGATGGAGTTGGACTTGTCAATGCTAAAGGTCATTTATAGGTGTTAATTAACCAAGAGGGAAATTAACAAACTAAGGTTATTTATTTATTTTGTCTGGCATTTTGCAGTGTTCTCATTCTTACCTATTTAAAGTGCAGAATAGTTTTTTGTTATCTAAATTTAGAATTGCTTTTGCAGTTTTGGTCTTCATAGAAAGCAAGATTGTTAGCACAGCCCTTCTTGCAAATGTAGCCTTTTTCCATCAGTGGCAACAGATTTTGGGGGTGAAGTTAAAAAAATGCAATATACTTGGAGGGAGAGGGAAATAAATTCGAAGGAATTTATTTTGTGTACTAGGATTGAAACATTAAAATTACTTGGGCTATGCAAGATATATATACACTCAGAATGTGCACAGTAATGCATCAAAATGAGTAGAAATTGTCTTAAATAGAACTCCTGAGAAATCAGTAGCCACTGTAAAGGAGCTACAGCATGTAATCTGCCTAGTGTAGCTCAGATTAGTACAAAAATAGTTTTTTATATTGCTAATCCTTACAAGCAGCATTCAAAACACTTAATTTTTTTTTTGCCTTATATTATGGAATTCTGCATCTGCTGTTATGTTTTAACATCAGAAGTAAAACTTCATAGTAACCGTTCAGTGTTCATCAAAATACTAATACTGTTTTTTCCCTAATTCTTTACTAGCCTGAAAGCTAAATACTACATGTCTTGTGGTTGGTGCTTTGCTGATTTTGTAAATGTTGTTTGCTTGGGTTTTCTTTCTAAACAAATGAAAATCTAAGAACTGGTATTGTTTTTCTTTTTTGTGTGTGTATGTTGCCCTTGGTTATTTGAAAATGGCCTCACTGGTGAGCCTTGAAGTAGTAAAAAAATATTTATATTCTGGTAAACTGAGGCAAAATCACTTCACCTCTCTCTCTCCCCTCCCACAAAACTTCTCTTCCTAGTATTTTGTGACCAAATTGACTTCTCTGCATTTAAAAGGCTTCTCTATGCTTGTCCTTCTCTCTTCCCCATTTTATGAGAATAATTTTTGAAAAATATTTCCTAAAAAAGGACACCGCCCCATCCACTTCT